TTGTCCTTTTAATAAGGAAGTGTTAAAGTAAAAAGGGTATTTAGGAAGGACGTGCGCGTTTTTTTCACATTTGAGAATATATTTAGTATTCCCAAAAAGTTAAACAGTAAAATACCCAAAATTCAGATTTTGGGAATACTACTCCCAAAATTATTTAACTTTTTTAAACCCCTTAATTTGAAATTTAATTAAATACCCTAATATTTTTTTTTAAATTACAAAAACACCCCATAATCCACATTTACCAGATTCCGGCCACCACACCGGAAAATGGCCGGAATCTGGTAGAATGGCGCACTACCGGCTGAATCTGGTTGGCAGTGCGCCGATCTAGCGTGGATCTGGCCGGAAAAAGGCCAGATCTAAGGCCAAAGATTCTGGCCGTTGACGGCCAGATCTTTGGCGTAACACTCGATCACGAGGCCAACAAACGGTCGTCGTTAACCATCAACGACGACCGTTTGTTGGCCGTCGTTGAGAGCAAATACGGCAGATCTGACCGTAGATCTGGCCTTCCGGCCAGATCCACCGTGGATCTGGCCGGAAAAGGCCATAGCGACGCATGACCGGCAAGATCCAACGGTCATGGCCCATACGGCGACTCGGCCACCTCCGGTGTGGTCACCGGCTGGGGGTGTTTGAGGGTGGGTTAGGGGTATTTTTGTTAAACTTTTAAGTGTTTATTATAGGGGGTATTTTGTAAAAAAACAAACATAAAGGAGATTATTAATTTATAAATTTTACCGTCGTAATACCCGCCCAATTCAATTTTTTTTAACTTTTTCAAAAAACTTTTCTCAAAACCCCAAATACCGAAACAAACGCAGCGACTATTTGAGAATGATTATAAACTGATCAGGGCTAATTAGTCATTTTGCCACTCTGACATTCTCAGGTGGTAGTCAAATGACAGAAAAGCAAACGGTCAACTATCCTCAGGCGTAATCTGTAATTTTCGATACTTAAAAGGGGGACATATATTGTGATGAAACTCGCGGCGAAAAATTGTATTAAACTCTTGAATAAGGTTGATCTATTCAGTTAATTAGTTTTTTTGCATAGTATTAAAATTTTTTATTTTTTTATTAATTTCACATATAAATAAAATAAAAATATTCCTTTAAGAACCAAGGTTTATTCACACACCCTTGTGAGATTGTTAATATGATCTACCCAAACTTTTTGAAACAGTTAAAAACTCTTACAAATATTAGGGGTATTATCAATGGGAGAAATATTAAAAAAAAAAAAAACTACACGGCCAGGGTCACAAGTTTTATTTGTATTAATAAACAGGCACTTCTTCAATCAAATGACATTGTTTTAATGTCCATCTATGTGATAAAAGAAAAGAAGTATTTATTTATTGATAGAAAAATGTTTGGTGACTGATAAATGTATTTATTTATTAATACAAATGAAACTTACGTCTTTTTCAAATTTTCAAAAAGTGTTCCAATTGATAAAACCGTAATTATTAAAATTCTTTTAATTATCAAAATCTTGGAGTTTTGAATAATTATGAGGTATTTAAACATTCTTAAAAAGTTGAGGTGTGTTTGATCAACGGTAATATTATGTTTATATCTAATATCACAAATTTTCTCTCATAATCTCATGTAAAACAACTGTAATTGGTCAATTTACAATAGAGTTTCACTTGTTAATTACAAACTAACAATTATAAACCTATATGTCGACGTTAGAGTTATAAAATAAAATTTATAAAACTTGATTTGTAAGTCGATCTTTATTGTTAATGGATCACAATGAGTATACAAAGTAAGCCGAATTATATATATATATGTTTCAATTGGATTCAGGTTTTTAGTCCGGTTCGGGTACGGGTGGGTTTTTGGACACCCTCACTAACAATTCCATACGCACAAAATTTACCGTCTCGAAAGAGAACCCTTTCGGGGCTTCGACTGTGTGCAGTGAACAAGGGAATGGAAGACATTGAAGATTTGTGGTAGGAAATGGAGGGGCGGGTGCTTCTCCAGGTTTCAGGTTGCCCCTCAATGCTGTGGACTCAATCCCAGAAAGAACAACAACAAACCAAAATCACCAAACTGATCACCGTCTTGCTTCCAAAGTCCCTGGATCCAGGTAATTCTTCTTTCTTCTCTTTTTTTCATCTTTTTTTTTTTTTCGGCAATGCTGACATTGTTGTTTGTTGCCTGAATTTGAATAAAGAAACAGTAAGACTGCTTGTTCACTTAATATACTTTTAGTTCTACTTCTCTGTTTGATTGACTTGGATTTGGTTCTACCTGTAAATTTAACTTGAATAATCTGACACTAACCTTTCTACTAAAAATGCGCATGACATGCTACGCAGTAACGAAAGAAATTTTTTTTTCACTAGTCTTTGTCTCCACTCTCCACTATAACTATGTGCTCCTTCTATTATTTATTAAAGCCCAGCTTTTTGTTAGTTTATTTGAATATTTTAGATATACATGTCTATCTACTTATTTGCTTTCTTTTTTGTAATTACTTTTCTTCCATGTTAACAAGAGAAGCATTTGTTTCTGACATGTCTTGTTGGAGTCCAGCTTTCATCTGCCTACATTTTGATTTTTTCAATCTAGACTATATGTAACTCAGGCATGTTCAAAATTTGCTGGACAAGTGATAAATTGAAGTCTTGTTGTAGTTAATGAGTTCAACATGAATTCTGCTTCTTTATACAAATGTCTAATTACAATATTCCTCGTCTGACCTATTTACAATTTTGTCTTTTGACCTTCAGGCTGGCATCATAAACAAGCCATTCTTATCTTCAATGAAAAAGGTAAGTTTTACAAGTGCTACTAATCTGTTCAAGAATCCTAATTCATTTTTCTTAATTTTTCTGTTCTCCAAAGTCCATAGCTGCAGGCATATCAAAGTGGCATAACATTTGCAATTGTCTTAGGAACGATAAGTAATCACCTAATGTTGATGGAGCTACTTTCGGAATATAGTGTTTTAGACACGGTACTTTGAGCTTTGGTTGAAGTCTTTTGATGCTTCCATGCTGGCTGGAATGCTGGCATTGAGAATTAGTTTTTACATATGTACCTGTGTTATATCCAGTTTTCCTGCAATAAGAGGAAATATTTAAAATTCTCTTTACAACTCAACTAGGCTTTAATTTTCAAGGCATTTCTGATTCATCTGGAGGAACATCTTCCGCCAAAGTTTTGGCAAAGGTGTCTTTGTTGTCTCTGTCCACATACTTTTCAGATGTTTCTTCTCTTTGAATCTATATTTAAATATTTTGAGTAAAACTGTTAAGCTTACACTTTCGGACCATTTGGGACAAAACGTGCCCCCACCTCTTGGCTTTAAATCATGAAAACTTCTTTTACCGACTTCCTTTGAGGCTTTGGCTTATGGTGGCATGCAAAGACTTTATTTTCTTCTCATTTGGGAGGCATTTTTATTTCTGTATTTTGAATGAGGTGTTGCTGCCCTTTGATTTAGATCTAATTGTAATCAGAGAGTAGGAAGTGCAAAACTACTCCAAACTATCTTTTGTTTAGATGCTTTCTTCATTCCTAGTATATTGGAATAGCAATTAGTTTGAAGTTGTAACAGGCTGGGTTGGTCAGTAATATTTTTATTTTATTTTATTTTTTGGGTATGAACATGGGACTTGTATTTGGAAAATCTGGGCTTCTCTTAGAAGTCTGTACCCTATAATTTCTAACTTATTCCAATTGACTTTGCATCTTTCTGGGAAATTATTGATGTGCCCAGGGCCTGAAAATTGGGTTTCACTTTTGAGTAAAAGCTTTGTGTGCTTGGTCTTTGATGGGCCTTCAACACCGTTGTCAGTCTAATTGGTTTTTTTTTTTTTTTTCTGACTATTTTGGCCTTAGATTTTAAGCTTCTGTTGTGAACCCTTTTTCCTGGTGCTTGTCATGTTTCTGTCCATGACCAGATACCTTGTCTTCAATTCTGGTAGGAGGCTTCATCTCTTCATGCTATCCTAATTAACAGAGGATTCCCTGGCTGTTTTGGTGGCCACTTTAACGTCTACTGAAACTGGAATAAAGCCTGATGCATTTTCCCAGAGCATTCAGATTTCTCAAGCATTCTCTTTTGCATTCATTATCTTGAAATAGCTTGAATCTATGCTCCACTTTGACCTTCTTGATAAAGCACTTTGGATGTATAATGAACCCGGCTTGGTCCCATTCACTTGCTGTCAGCAATTTGGCTCCAGCCAGGTACACCACATCAGAATGTCTCCCCTATCATGAAAATTGGTTCTATTTGATGCAAAGTATGGCTTTATTCCGTCTCCAATATGTTATACAATCAAAACATCTTACATTGCTCTCATTACCATCTTGACCCCATTGTAATGACAGCAACTTCCCCTGATTTCTCATGCTGTTTTCTTGCTGAACATGTCAGTATAAATACTATTATGCTTCAAATCAGCCACATTTCTGCAACCTTGAGGCTGAACCATGAGGGACAATGATCTTTTTCCTCCATCATGAAAAACATTGATGAATGAACCCCATTCATGACTATATCTTTCTATAACAATAGTTGATAACAAGAGCCTGTGCATATTGTGAAGGAAGTTCCTTTGTTATTATCTTGAACAGCATTGACAAGTTTCTTCACCAACCAATCAACACTCCCAAGTCTAAGTTACTCTTTTTAATCTTAAGGATAAGTCCTCTAAAATGTTCCTCCAATTCTAATAAAAAGGTATTTTGTTCAATATTACAATATTTGGCTAAGTTTTTGAACCCCAATAGAGGAAGCTAGTCCTCCCTCTGCTTCTAGATATTTCTCATTTCCTTCCATTCTAACACAAATTGCACATTACTGTAATTCACCAAATACTAGAACATTATTATTTTATTTTTATTTTTTTTGCGTATATCTTTTATTTTTATTTTCAAGAAAGAGGGAATCATCTTATAGAGCTTGCATTCATATGAAAATAAATAAATAAAACAAAAATTAATGGTGTTAATGCATTTTGTCAGGATTCTTTTTTGGTGAATATTGCTCGTGGAGGACTTTTAGACTATGAGGCCGTTGTTCATTACCTTACCAATGGCTACTTGGGAGGGTTGGGCATGGATGTTGCTTGGACTGAGCCATTTAATCCTGAGGATCCAATTTTGAAGTTTAACAATGTTCTAATCACGCCACATGTTGCAGGAGTTACAGAACATTCTTACAGATCCATGGCTAAGGTATGCAGCATAAATATATCTGCTCGATTCTTTAAGTAATTATTGATGGAATTTCGCTCGGGTTTGGTTTGCTTCTTTAAACCCAGTCAGTTCATAGTATTCCTCGGAAAATTTAGGCTGCATTTACTAACAAGCAGAAAATGGTGAACTTTGAGACTGATACCTATATGTTAGATTCTCCTACGTTATCCTAAACTTCTGCCACCCTAAACCCTTTTTCATTCTTCTTTTGCGGCACAATCCTGTCACCAGGAGGAAGGTTCCCATCCGTTGCCAGACCTCATGCATATTGCATTTGAGCGTCAGTCATAATGGCAAGCATCCAGTAGGAGCTTGGATAATATAAAATCTCCACTATAGCAATTTAACCTTCATGCCATCTGAAGGGCATTTTTTTTCTTTTTCCTTTCGGAGTTAAAATTCCTTAGCCATAAGAGCTTGTCTGCAGTAAAAAAATAAATCAGTCTTTGATTTGGCACAATGAAAATAATGATGAAAAGCTAAGGTTAATTAATGTTATATTATGATATTTCTTGATGATACATTTTGAACTTAGCTTTACAAAGATCTGGTTACTTAACGCTTCTCCATATATGCTCTCTTACATTCTATAGAACTTGGATTATAGATCTCTTTTTCTGGCAGATGACTTATATTTTGCTCTGTTAAAAGGTTGTTGGGGACGTTGCTCTTCAACTTCATGCTGGAACTTCTTTGACAGGGATAGAGATTGTCAACTGATTCGATTCAGCATTCGGTCCTCAGCCTAAATGATAATACAGAAGGGTATTCTTGGCAATTGAACATTAAAGGTAAATTGATTCTATCTCCATTTTTTGTCAATGCAAACACTATCATTTCAAATCGTGTAATTGTTGCTGTTGAATTGAATATTTTACTTGGATTATTATTCTGAATACTTGCGTATTGAACTTCATAATTTAGCTTAAATAAAATGTCTGAAGCTAGACTATTGGAGGAACATCAATATGTGCAGTTTTTCATTAGTTAATATTAATTAAACCTATATGTATTAAGGGGCAGTCCAAATTTTTAGCCATTTTTTAAATTTGCAGAAGGTCTGAGTTTAAATCAAATATTTCCAAAATAAAAAAATGAAACTTAGGTGGAGTTGTTATAAGGTATCAAAATATGGATTCATAATCCCTAATGGTTTATGGCATTTCCCTTCACTTTTACATTTCTTGTAACTAACATTTAGATTAAGTTAGGTTGAAAAACGTTATTAAATATATTATTATTTAATACTAGAATAATACTCGTGTTTGGTCTCAAGCTGGATTAAATGCATAACGTATTATTTAAATAAAAATATGATTATTAAAAAATTAAATTGTTAAAAAGATTGAATTTTTTTTTAATATATAATAATAAATCTTTTAAAAATAAAATTTAAAAAAATTAAAAGGGCCAGTGGGGTTGCTAATTGGCAGCCATCAACACAAATGAAAAGTTTGCTAAGGGATCTATCCTACCGTGGTAATTGAGTAATAATTATACTCATAATCTTTCTCACAAACTTCCTATCATAATTTCGATGTGATGCTTTGTAATTGGTCAATAATAATTTATCAGATAGATCTATTACGAATTGATTAATTGTTAATTGTCACGTCAGGGTTGTAAGAAGAAGTTATAGATATAGTACTACTCATAGTAATTAAAGTCATCAAAAACGACATTTGGCCGGGAAATTATGAAAAGATTTGTCGAATCTTTGTCAATTTTTCAGTGAAACATTACTTCCGACGACTTTCCCATTACTTGATGACGTCGGTGGTTGTTGGACACATCATCAGCAATGATGGTAGCTGACCGGTATACTCTAATACTGATAAAGTTGGGGTTGTTCATGATTCACTAATGTCTCTTTCTTTCCCATACATTTGAGAGAGAGTTGCTAGATCTTGTGTTTTGTGAGTTTGTGGAAAAACAAAAAAAAAAATTGTATATAAATTATAGTTAAATTCCAATTAAATGTTATTTTGGGTGATTTAATATATATTTTAAAAACTGTATTTAATCAAATGTATGGCATATCCTTTAAGTGCATAGAAGGAATTCTAACAATTTAACCAATTTGATGGGCTGATGGTCACTCATATCTAGCATTTCAGAGAGAGTTGCGGTGGGCAGAACACATTTGGTGGAGGAAGGAGAAGAGCAAGAAATTAAGGTTGGAGAATGAAAGAGAGATGTTAGAGAAGCCATGTGGGTTTAAAAATTTGAAATATTCAAGTACTCTTATTTTATGTAGTAGTTGCAGTTGCAGGTTTCAATTATGTTCAGTTCCTAGAGTTGAGTTTTTTGTCCTTTTAATAAGGAATTGTTTAAAGTAATAGGTTATTTTGAGAAATGTATTATGAACTGAATCAGGGCTAATCTAGTCATTTTGCCGCTCTGACATGCTCAGGTGCTAGTCAAATGACAGAAAAGCAAACGGTCAACTATCCTCAGGGGTAATCTGTAATTTTCGATACTTAAAAGGGGTATATGTGTTGTGATGAAACCTCAGGGCAAAAATTGTATTAAATCTTTGAATAAGGTTGATCTATTCAGTTAATTAGTTTTTTTTTGCATAGTATTAATTTTTTTATTTTTTTAACTTAATTTCACATTATAAATAAAATAAAAATATTCCTTTAAGAACACAAGGTTTATTTCACACACCCCTTGTGAGATTGTTTAATATGATCTCACCTAAACTTTTTGAAAACAGTTAAAAACTCTTACAAATATTAGGGTTATTATCAATGGGAGAACATTATTAAAAAAAAAAAAAACTAAAGGATCAGGGTCACAAGTTTTATTTGTATTAATAAACAGACACTTTTTCAATCAAATGACATTGTTTAATGTCCACTTATTTATTGGAAAAAAAAAAAGCGTTTATTTATTGATAGAAAAATGTTTGTTGATTGATAAATGTGTCTGTTTATTAATACAAATGAAACTTATGTCTTTTTCAGTTTTTCAAAAAAGTGTCCTCTAATTGATAAAACCCTAATTATTAAAAATTCTTTTTAAATTGTCAAAATCTTGGAGTTTTGAATAATTATGAGGTATTTAATGATTCTTGAAAAGTTGAGGTGTGTTTTGGTCGAGGGTAATATTATGTTTACAACCTAATATTACAAACTTTCTCTCATAATCTTGACGTAGAAACTCGCAATTGATCAATTTACAATGAAGTTTCACTTGCTCAATTACAAACTAATCAATTATGAGCTATTATGTCGACGTCAGAGTTATAAAAGAAAATTTATAAAACTGAATTGTAAGTCAATTTTTATTGTTTAATAGATCACAATGAGTATACAATGGTAAACCGAATTATATATATATATATGTTTCAATGAGTATATATAAGTCAATCTTTATTGTTTAATGGATCACAATGAGTATACAAAGTAAGCCGAATTATATATATATATGTTTCAATTGGATTCAGGTTTTTAGTCCGGTTAGGGTACGGGTGGGTTTTTGCACACCCTCACTTAGAGCTGGGCATTTGGGACCGGGCCCAAAAGCCCAGCTCTAAAAGCCGGTCCTAGGACCAATCCTTGAGAGGATCGGACCTAGGAGGCCTGGTCCTAAAACGGGACCAGGCCTAAGGAGGAGGGCCCGGGCCCTCCTCCAAGGCCCGGGCCTGGGCCCAAAAAAAATTATATTTTTTTAATGTAGTCCCTGCCAAATTATATGAAACCCCCTGTTAATTTTAAAATAAATATAAATTACGAGGGTTAAAATGAAATTTTACAAAATTCATAAAAAAAAAATATCTTCCAAGTCTAAAAAAATTATAAATTTTATAAATTTTACCTCTAAAAAATACTAAAAACCCCCTATAAAATTTCATTTTTCCGCAAAATATAAAAAAATTGAGAGGGGAAAATGAAATTATCCAAGACCCATGGGACCGGTCCCAGGCCTATGAGAAAAACCAGAACCCGAATCAGACCCCAGGCCCATGAGTGACTGGTCCCATTTGGGATCAGTCCCAAGGGACCAGTCCCAAACGGGCCCAGGCCTGGGCCCGCAAGGGACCGGTCCCTTGCCCACCTCTACCCTCACTAACAATTCCATACTCACAAAATTAACCCGTCTCGAAAGAGAACCCTTTCGGGGCTTTCGACTGTGTGCAGTGAACAAGGGAATGGAAGACATTGAAGATTTGTTGGTAGGAAATGGAGGTGGCGGTGCTCCTCCAGGTTTCAGGTTGCCCCTCAATGCTGTTGGACTCAATCCCAGAAAGAACAACAACAAACCAAAACTCACCAAACTTGATCACCGTCTTGCTTCCAAAGTCCCTGGATCCCAGGTAATTTCTTCTTTCTCTCTGTCTCTTTTTTTTCATGAATTTTTTGTTTGTTTTGATCTTCTCTTGCTGCAGACTATATATATCAAGACCTTTGGATGCTCACATAACCAGGTACTCCTTTGTTTCATTACATTTTTGTAATACGGGAGAATAATTCAAGTTGGGAAAGCATGAGATTTCTAATTGTGTTGGTAAAGTTGTTTCTTGAACTGTATGTATGTTACATGCAGTGATAGAGAAGTGCTAAAGATTTGGGAAGAATCTAAATATGGGTTGAAATTACAGGATTCTAATTGTTTTTTATACTTGTTAGATGCATGTGTTTCTGTTTTTTACACACTGTGTAATGTGTATGAATCCCAGTGAATTAAATCTTGTTGATAAGTGGTAGAAGTTGAATTTGTCCCACATCGCTCTAATAGTAGGCTGTTATGGTGTATATAAGTGATTGGGCTCCCTCCTCTCTTGAGCTAGTTTTTGGGAGTGAGTTCTACTCAAGCCCACTTTATCATGGTATCAGAGCCACGTTTGTTTCTCTCCCCTCTTTGGTTGGGGCGATGATGGGTTTGGACCCCGACTTTGCACGCCGAGCGTGAGGGAGGGTGTTAAAAGTTGAATTTGTCCCACATCGCTCTAATAGTAGGCTGTTATGGTGTATATAAGTGATTGGACTCCCTCCTCCATTGAGCTAGTTTTTGGGAGTGAGTTCTACTCAAGCCCACTTTATCAATAAGGTTGTTGCCCTTTAGAAAAGTGGTTTTAGCAAAAAATAGCCATTTAGAGGTCTTGGTTGAAACAGTGTCACTTTTGGTAGTGTCTTGCAAAGATATATTATGTTTGATCGGAGTAATGATAATGCCTCTTTTCAACACTTTTTATGGGGTTTCTTCATGAAAATCCGTTTCACAAGTGAGCTCCTTCTCACTCTGTTTAGCATGAGAGAGGTGACGTTGAGCACCATCTCGTTTACATAATGGAGCTAGATAACATTCAAAATGGTGCTTGACAACATTGTCTTGTGCACGGCATAAGACAGTGCTTGACATCACTGTCTCGTGTGCTAATAGCAGTGCTATTGTTTAATGAAAGACTCCCCTGAAATGGTTGAAGAGAGGTACATTTTTTTTTTCTTTTTTTTTGTGTCCTGGTCACTAATTATAGATGGTATCACAAGAATAATTGGAATACGCTAATTTTCAAAAAATCTTCCTCCAATGTGGACATTTTTGCTAAATGGTTAGGAAAAACAGCTGTAGAGTTAAAATCTGAGTTTTGTGAAGGACTTAACTTAGCTTGATATTGCTAATGTTGCCTAGGGATTTAGTGGCCAGTTTATATCACTAATTACTTTAGTTTCATTAAAAGATCCCTACTTTTGTCGTGATAAATGGTTAAATATGCAGAAATTTTCCCAATTTGTCTTCAATAGGGAAATAGGGCTCTCTTTTGCATAAAACAAGTCCTTTATTCTTTGGAATTCAAAACTAGTTGGGATTAGCTACTTTAAAACTTTGGACAAAAGAGATCTCTAAATTATGGCTTAATATTCTCATATATATTTAGACTTGTAAGTTCAATTAAGGGGATAAAAGGGAAATTATTTTGAGTTGGGCTAAATTTGTTTGCAATAATACTAAGTCATATAGTATATTTTTCTTAGTGAACCTTGACAGTTTGAAGAATTTTATTAACAAAGAAAGAAAGATGCACTTAACCGTTGGACATATGAGTCTTACCTCTCAAAATGGATATTCTATATTGAGAAACTAAAACTTATGATGATGAAGTATATAGAAACATGCAATGCAATTAAAGTAGAACACTATTGAAGTTTTGCTCCTCTATGCTTCAAAGGGTAGAAATCATCTGTTATTGATTCCAAATGATTATTTCGAACAATTTTCCTTAATCGACATTAGTACAGATATTGGATTGTCAATCATGAATCGTCCACACAAGAATTTAATATATGTGGTGTTTTCTTTTATTTCTTTTGAAGAATCATAGAATATGTCCAAACCCTGTATTAAGAGATTTTATGTAAACCAAATTCATGGAGGACAAAAATTATAAAAAATGAAAAAGAGAAAAAAATGAGGTGAAAATTTTCAACTTTTGTTCATCAGAGATTTCTAGCTTGACTATTTTGTTCACTCGTTTTTCATTGTTTCAGAGTGACAGTGAATATATGGCTGGTCAGCTTTCAGCATTTGGCTATGCATTAAGTGACAATCCTGAGGAGGCAGACCTTTGGCTGATAAATACGTGAGTATTACTGCTTGGGTTTCTTTCGTTTATTTATTTATTCTAAATGTATTTCCATGACCCAATTGTATGTGTTGTTAAGAAAGATGTAACTATTTTCAACTAGATCACCATGTCATATGGTTTTTGTGTGACATGCTTTACATGTGAGTGATGATCTTGATGCAGTAAGGGGTTGTGATTGGTAATTCAGTATGTAAAAACTCCACTGGGGCTTTCTCTATGTAGTTGTCTCTTTAGTAACAGTGATACAATATATTGCAAACTAGTTGTTTCCCTTTCCCATGGTATATATGTGTACTATTAGTGCACTTATAATTCGTAGTGCCTGACACAGATGCACGGTAAAGTCCCCCAGCCAGTCTGCCATGGACACTCTAATAACAAAGTGCAAAACTGCGAAAAAGCCCCTGGTGGTTGCTGGGTGTGTGCCACAAGGAAGCCGAGATTTGAAAGAGCTAGAAGGGGTTAGTATAGTTGGAGTCCAGCAAATTGACCGTGTTGTTGAAGTTGTTGAAGAGACTTTGAAAGGTCATGAGGTGCGGCTGTTACATCGCAAAACACTGCCAGCTCTTGACCTTCCGAAGGTGAGTTGTAATTTACATTGAAATTTTCCTTTCAATTCAGACTGGGAGGACCTTTTAGGAGTTATTTCCACTTATCATTAGTTATTTTTAATTATCGCTTGTAGCACTAATGCATTTTTAATTGCCTGAAATAATTTCCTTAACTAGTGATGGAGCTGTAGTTTTTCTCTCAAAATAAATATAGCNTAATTTTCAGCTAAAATAAAAACTATTCGTACTGATAATGGTGCTGAATTTGTAATGCCTCAAAAGGAGCCTATCATCAAACATCTTGTGTTGAGACACCTCAACAAAATGGTGTGGTGGAACGAAAACAGCAGCACATCATGAATGTTGCTAGATCCTTACTATTTTAGTCTAATTTGCCCAAAGTGTATTGGACCTATGCAGTACTTCATGCTATTCACCTCATCAATAGACTTCTTTCTCCTATCTTGCAAAACAGATCACCATTTGAACTTCTATATCATAAATCTCCTCACTATGATTCTTTAAAAATATTTGGTTGCTTGTGTTTTGCTTTAACTTTACAGGCTCACAGAACCAAATTTGATTTTAGAGCCAGGAACTGTCTTTTCTTAGGATTCCCATCTGGTACTAAAGGTTTTGTTCTATTAGACCTACATTCTAGAGACATTTTTCTCTCTCATAATGTTTTCTTTTACGAATATATTTTTCCTTTTTCCAAACCTTTAGATCTTTCCGTTCCTTTACCTTAAAATTCAACTTTTTTTGACTCTGATCTTTGTCCCGCTAATGACACTTCCTCATCTAAATCACCTTCATTACCACCTGATAACATTTCTTCTGCTAATTCCCTTGTCCCTTCTCCCGTTATACGACCTGACCGTACCTCTCGAAGATTGAGAAAGCCTCCTTCATACTTAAACAATTATCATTGCAATATGGTCACTGCACCTGAATCTTCTTTCCCTCAGTCAGGTACTATTTACCCCTTATCCTCTGTCCTCTCTTATTCTAAACTTTCACCAAATCAGTTTCACTTTACATTAGCTATCTCAACTACATTTGAACCTAAGACTTATGCACAAGCCATTAAACATGACTGTTGGAGACAAGCTATGCAAGCAGAAATTACTACTCTTGAGCATAATCACACTTGGACACTCACAAATCTCCCTCTTGGCAAGTCTCCAATTGGTTGCAAATGGGTGTTCCGTGTCAAGCATAAAGCAGATGGATCAGTAGAGTGTTACAAGGCTCGGTTAGTAGCAAAAGGCTATACCCAAACTGAGGGTATAGAGTATTTTGACACATTCTCACTGGTGGCCTAAATTACAACTGTCAGATTGCTTCTTGCTTTGGCTGCTGCGTCTCATTAGCATCTTAAGCAATTTGATGTCAACAACGCCTTTCTCCATGGTGATTTACTTGAAGAAGCATATATGGTATTACCTCCTGGTTTTAATTCTTCAAATCCTAGCAAAGTTTGCAAGCTCCAAAAGTCCCTTTATGGACTTAAACAGGCAAACAGACAATGGTTCTCCAAGCTTACTTTTGCCTTGATCTCTTTGGGTTACACACAATCTTCATTAGATTATTCTCTTTTTGTTAAATATTATGCTTCTTTTATAATAGTGTTGCTAGTATATATAGATGATGTTATATTAGCAGGCAACAATTTAGAAGAGATTGATGTTGTCAAAGCTTATTTAGATGATGGTTTTCGAATTAAGGATCTTGGTGATTTAAAATTTTTTCTTTGCTTAGAGGTGGCTCGTTCATAGTCTAGTACTGCATTATGCCAAAGAAAATATGCTCTTGACATTATTTCTGATGCTGGCTATTTGGCTTGTAAACCTGCCAAAACTCCAATGGACTACACTTGTAAACTCTCTCAAGCTACTGGTGACCTTTTATCTGATCCTTCTTCTTATAGAAAACTAGTTGGTCGTTTATTATATTTGACTTCTACACGGCCTGATTTGTCCTTTGCTGTTCAACAACTTAGTCAGTTCCTTGACAAGCCTACATCAGTTCACCAACAAGCTGCTAATCATGTTCTTTGATATATAAAGAGTTGTCCTGCTAATGGTTTTTTTTTTCCAGCTGACTCATCCCTTTCTCTCAAAGCTTTCAGTGATTCTGATTGGGCTGGATGTTCTGATACACGAAAATCTATCACAGGTTTTTGTGTTTTCCTTGGCTCTTCCTTGATCAATTAGCATGCCAAGAAGCAATCCACTATTTCTCGTTCTTCATCTGAAGCTGAATACCGTGCCCTTGCGTCCACAACATGTGAAATTCAATGGATTTATTACTTACTGAAAGATCTTCATGTAACTCACTCAGGTTCAGCTCTCCTTTTTTGTGACAACAAGTCAGCCCTTCAGATTGCTGCCAATCCCACTTTTCACGAATGTACCAAACACATTGAAATAAACTGTCACATTGTAAGACAAAAAGCTCAAGACGGTTTGATTCATCTCATGCCATGCTCTTCTTCAGATCAGTTAGCTGACTTATTCACGAAACTCTTCCACCTGCTTAATTTCATACCAATTTATCCAAGCTGGGAATGCTTAGCATTCATTCTCCAGCTTGCGGGGGGATGTTGAAGAATAAAGAAGAATGAGCTGCTTTCAAGTAGTCGTTAGTTTGTTATGCAATTAGTTTCAAGTAGTCGTTAGTTTGTTATGAAGTTAGTTAATCAGTTCTTTGAGTTAGTTAATGTTATTTGATCTAATCGAAGCTCCAATGCCTTGGTTAATCTCACCCAGAGCAATGAAGATGATTACTATGGAACATCTAAGTTATTCCAAACATTCAAATTATCTCCTCTCAAAAAGAAGAATGCACCAAGAACCACTTCCATCAAAGAATATCTGGCATAAAATGAAGAGTCAGAGATTCCCTACAAAAAGAGACATTTGATGCTCGAAAAAAAATTATTAAAAATTATTCCCTCATATATTCATGTCATACTATAGTAGATAAGATTTCAATAAATTGGAAGATTTGTTCATAGTAACCAAGCTTTTAGAAAGCAAATTCCCAACTCTCTCCTCCCTCACTCTCTTTCATGTAACCTCTCAAAGCTCTCAAAAAGAAAGCTTTTATTGTAAGTTCAAATTCCTTAAATCTTTCAATAATCTTTAATGTTTAATCTCTTATTATTTTGTAAATCATTTATCATTCATCATGTTTGATTTTAACATTTATTCAAGTTTTTGTTGTGTGTTCTTTGTTTCTTTATTTTTTTTTTATCACTTATCTGGTTCCAGTGTCGCATTGTCGCCGTTACCTGGTTAAGAATTAATCTCACTTTTAATATGATTTCAGTGCGCTTGCTGCTATATCTTATTAAGTTGTAAGATTATTTAAGTTTTATTTTATTAAATCTCTACATATCTCCTTTTGTGTGTAACGATCTGGTGGTCCTCTGGTATCAGAGCCAGAGGACTAATCCCTACAAGGGAGGTAACCATCATGCCACCCAAAAAGACCAATCCTCTGATCACTAAAAAACAATCAAAGGCTTTTTATGCCCAAACCCCACAAACACCAAATCATGGTACGAACTAGTATGTGAAGAAAAGCCCAAGAAAATGCCTACATCAAAAGGAAAATGCATAGCCTTACAAGCTCTTCTTAGAGCCCAACAAATATAGGGCAAATCCAGAATTGGATCAACTCTTTTCAGGAAAGTCCAGAAGCACCTTACCATGATTGGGCTGACACCAATTTACCAAAAATGAAATTCCTGGTTTAAGTGATAATTAAATGTTTTAATATTTAATGTTAAACATCTGGTATATTTTGGTCATCTAAATAGACTGCAATCAGATAATAATTGAAATAAATGGTCCATTGATGCTAGATTCTATTGTTCCAACAGAGAATCTCTAAATCTTAGCCATCTACAATCTCTTAAACTGGCAAAGATGGCAGTGTCCATGCCTTCAATGCTTAAAGTTTTGATTCCTATTTGGACTAATCCTATGTGAGATAATATAATATGTTTTCCTACAATGCCTTCAATTCTATTTATTTATTCGCCAATAGTATCAAGCATTGGTTTGCATAATTATTTTGTTGGTAATATTTTTTATATCATTTCTTGATTTTCACTGAATTGTCTTTGACTTTAAAAGGTGAAGCCTTAATTTCTACTCCTTTATAGGAATCGTTACTTCTGCTAAGGTGGATGAATTGACTCCATTTCTTCAATATCTTTTCCTCTTGTGATTTTCCCACTATTTGCTTGGTTTGGACATTGATTTTTTTTTCACTGTCAACCCTTGAAAGAAGGTATGAGAATTGGTGGTATTTTCATAAAGTTGTAATAATTTTGTTGAATTATATCTCTTTTTTTTTTAGTTTAAAAGGAACGCATTCAAGACAAAATTGATTTAATAACTATATTTGTTATCATCAAAATTCGAGACCTATGAGACCCCTTGGTCAACATTTTTATTATGTCTAAATACTTGCCAATCAAATTTTTTTTTTCTTAAAAAAAAAAAAAAAAAAGGGGTCTATGGACCCCATGACCATCTCTTCTTTGAGAGCCCGTTCACTAAAGCTATTTGGAGATCAGCTCAATGTAAAGGAAATTTCCAAGTCACAACAGTAGGTTGGGATAATATTGTTTCTTGGTGTGCTAAGAAATTCAAGGGTACAAGTATCCTTGCGTGTTGTTGGGAGACTTTTATTTGGTTGTTTATTTTGTTTGGCAAGAACGAAACTACCAATTGTTCAAGGTGTTAATAGAAGTCAGAGTGTATGAAGCTTACCATTTTTGAGAAGTGAAGATTGTCTCACTACTCTTAATTCAAAGATATCCTCGGGTTCATAGAGTGATGGAGAATTGGGGCTTCTCCACTATGTAGTGTTGATGGAAGCTGATTTTGTGTGCTTTATGAATGGGGGGCCGAGCGGTGTCTTTGTGGAATTCTGTTTGATTATAGTGAGCCTGTGGGATGAACAATGGTTGATAGTTGATATTGCTTGTTCTTCTTTTTGTTTGTACTTGGTTGACCCAAGCTTTTGCACTTGTG